CCGGGCGGCCCCCGAGGCTTCGGGGAAGGCGCGCGGCGGCGCCCGCCGGCAGGGGGCAGGGTCCTGGTTGGCGGGGCGACGCGACCTCTGCGGCCCCTGCAGCGCCGCCCTCCGGAGACTCAGAACCTGCGCGCCGTGGCGCCCCCCACAGATCCGGCCGGATTCCCGGGCCTCCGAGGCACAGCAAAGAGCCTAGACCGGGATTGTTTGCTGGTTTTGGTTGGAAAGTGGAAACGTGCCCAGTCGCTCCCTGAGTGCCTGCGCACTTCCATCCTGCACACCCCGAAGTCAGTCCCAGCCCCGGGGTGACTTCTCATCTTACCGGTCCTCACCGCCACGCGAGGCCGTCCTGCCCACACCCTTCCCGTGTGTCCCGGTCACACTGGCGTCTGCGCCACGCTCACAGACTACCAGAGAACGGGCGAGGCGCCTACCAGGTTGGCTACAACTGGGAGATGTCTGGGCTCATCCCGACACCCTGATAGTTTTCACCTCAAAGCCACTGGTCTTTCCCTAGTGAAGCAGTGAGGTCAGTGGGCAAACACCCAACGTAAGTCCCAAGTAACTGGCAAGTCTCGTGATTCTGGCCACTTCTCTCCAAGCGCAACAGTGGTGATCTACCTGGGTATTGCATCACACGGAGGCAGGCGGAAATGGAGTTACAAATCTGAGAGTGTGATATCGAATCTTACCAATCAAGTCCCTGTTTTGCCTGTCGGAAATCCCGACTGTCAAGCTAAGGCCAAACCAAGCGAGCAGACCTGAGTCCTGGCACCCCGATGTGTGTCACAGTACAAATGTGCTCCAGAGAGTGTTCAGGGTGACGTTGTGGAAATAGCTCACGGGGTCTTTCCTCCCAGGAGCCTCTGGGTACACTCCACACCACCCTATCAATTAGCAGCAAGGGGTTCCACTCGGGGACCCCTGGCCCAGCCGAGTGTCTCCCATATACACCCTCCTTGAATACCATGCCAGAAGCTCTGCTGCACTGTGGTCAAGGCCTGGGGCTGGTAACCAAAAGGTCAGCAGTTTGAACCCACCAGCTGCTCTGCTGCAAAAAGATGGGGCAGTGTGCTTCTATAAAGATTCATAGCCTTGGAAAGTCTGTAGGGGTCGCTATGAGTTGAAATGGACTCAATGGCAATGGGTTTGATTTTGGTTTGTTGATTGCCAGGCAGATCTTGGTATATGCCGTGCCCTGTCCTTCCTTCACCAGTATCCAATCCTCACATGAGGTCTGAAGGAGTCCTGGTGGTGTAAAGCGCTCAGCTGCTAACCGAAAGGTCGCCAGTTTGAATCCACCTAGCGGCTGTGCAAGAAAAAGATGGCACCATGGTCCCGTAAAGATGACAGCATGGGAAACCCTATAGCCTAGGAAACCCATGAGACAGCCCCTTTGTCACATGGGTTGCTCTGCGTCAGTATCAACTGGACGGCCCCCAACAGTAGGACTGAAAGCCGATCCTTCTCCAACCCCACCGTCTGTTTTCTAGTGTCGTGTCGTATTTGTCATCAGCGTCTCTCACAGTGGAAAGCATGGGTAGCCACGTTCACTGCACGGTATGCGGTGCTCACCTTCTCTGACACATATGAGCTGAGCCTGGGCCTGCCTCTTGGAAAACCTGATGGATACGTCGTGCTGGGTCACCTGGAGTGTTGGGATTGCGTCTTGACCCAAAGTCTCATTGCCAATTCTTCACAAAAAAAAAATTTACAAAACCAGTTACGTCGAGTCAATTCTGAGTCATGGTGGACAGAGTAGAACTGCCTTATAAGGTATTGCAGGCTGTCCATCTTCATGGAAGCCAAGTCCAAACAAAACCCACTGCACTGGAGTCATCCCGACTCACAGCACTCCTAGGGGACAAAGTAGAACTGCCCCAGAGGCTGACAGTCTCTGCAGAAGCAGACTTCCACGTCTATCTCCTGCAGAGCGGCTGGTGGGGTCAAACTTTCTGTTTAGTAGCTGAGCACTTAATCACTGCACCACCAGGGCTCCCTCTTCAAAATATACCCACTGGAAAAAACCAGAAAATTAGAAAGATGGTTTTTAGAGTGCTTCGTGGGGGTAATAGCCATCGACTGTTTCAGTGTCTCCTTCAGGAGTATGCATGTGCAAAATATAGTAGCTTAATTATTAGGCAGCCTCACCTATTTATAAATCGAGAATAGAAGACTGCGTAGGCAGGTTTACTTTAACTGACAACTAAGAGCATTCGGGATGCAGAAAATATTCCACTAAGCGCTGAAGCCAGCCGTTCTAAACACAATTGGAAGCAGCACTGGTGTCCAGAAGGGCCACCTCACTGCCCGGGAAGCCCTGGAGGGCCTGGTGGGGTCACAGAGCCAAAACTATGCAACACAGGCAGGGAACAGGAGCAGTCGTATAAGTCACAGGCATTTTTCTTAAGTTAGCCGTTGTAACGGATACCCTGGGGTGGTGGTGGGGGTTGTGAGAGGCCATTGAGTCAGCTCCGACTCACAGCGACCCCGTGTACAACAGAACGAAACGCTGCCCGGTCCTGCACCAGCCTCGCGATCCTTGCCATGCCTGAGCCCATCGTCACAGCCGCGTCAACACATCTTGTTGAGGGCCTTCCCCTTCTTCACTGACCCTCTACTTTACCATCACACGTCCAGTTCTTTGTGTGTGCAGGGATGTACACGGGCACATGGGTGTTTGTACACGAGCTATATGCAAGCTTGTGCATGACAGAAAATCCCAGAAGGCTTCCCAAAGAATTACTAACAGTGGTAGCACAAGAGAATAGAATTGGGGGAAGAAAGAGGGCTTTTCAACTCTTTCTTTCCCCGACCACAAGTATTACTTTTATCATTAAGAACGAAGAACTGGATGGTGCCTGGCTACCATTACTGAACGTTTTGATCAAAGATTCTATAGAAGAATCTTGATTAAAAGGGGGAAAATGTAGAAGAGAATTTGAAATTCTCATGGAATCCAGACTTTCTGGAGCCACTGAGGCTGGATGAACCCCTGAAAGTATTGCCCTGAAATAATCTTTAAACCTTAAACCAAAACACTCCCCTGAAATCTTCTTTAACCCAAACAGTAGTTGACCTGTATTCGTACAAAATGCCTTGAGCATTTGTCCTTTCAAGAACTATCTGCACAGGATCAAACTGACAGCAGCAACTTGAAAGATTACACAGGAACCTGAAGGGGCAGTGGGTTTATGTGAACAGGGAGGAGCAACTCAGAAAAGGGTAGTGAGGGTGGCTTTACTACCCAGGGCCGTCAACGCCCTCGAACTGTACACATGAAAACTGTCCAAGCAGCGCATCTATAGATTCCCAACAACAATAAATATCTTTAAAAAAAAAAACCTGACTGTCAGCCACTGGGGTTAAACTCCTCAGAGAAAAGCCATCTGAGCAGTCAAAAAGTGCCAGAAATTAATGTCTCGGGTTAAGGTCTTTAAAAAACAAAAAAGAAGGGAGGGAGTGGGGAAGGAGGAGAAGAACCAAGAGGGCCACGCAGGCCACCGCCTCTTCCCTGGTGTCTGACGCTCCCCTTGTCTCAGCTCCTCTCCCTCCCCTTGACCCTTTCCCTGCCCCATGGCTTTGTCAGCTCAAAGGAATCTACCTGCTGACAGTGTGGACCCAACGCAAGGGCTGGGCTGGAACTCAAGGGATGGCTGAACCACCTGCAGCAGTGCCCTGGGGCTGCTCCGGCAGATGTCCAAACTGGGGACTTCAAACAACGACATTATTGTCTCACGGTTCTGGAGGCCGCTGTTGGAGGTGCCATCTAGTCGGCTCCGACTCATAGCGACCCCAAGCCCAGCACAAAACAGTCCCCAGACCGGCCCCACCCTCACAGTCGTTCCGTGCTGGAGCCCACGGCGGCAGCCCTGTGTCCGTCCGTCTGTGGAGGCCTTCCTGTTTCTCACCACTCCTCTGCTTTACCAAGCCTGGTGTCCCTCTCGAGGGACCAGTCCCTCCTGATCACATGGCCGGAATATGTGAGACAAGTACAGCGTGCTCTTCTGGAGACAGGGCGTCCTAAGTCGAGGGGCCACAGGGCCCTGCCCTCTGAGGCCCTAAGCAGGGACCTTCCTTGTCTCTCTCAGCTTCTGGTGACCCCAGGTCATCCTTGGCTTGTAGACACATCTTCACAGGAGTCCTCCCCTATGTCTCTGTGTCCCTCCTCTTTTGTGAGGACACCCTCAGATGGGGTGAGGACCCTTCTATCTAGTGTGCCCTCATGTGAACTTAACCAGTAACGTTGTCAAAGACCCTATTTCCAAACAAGGTTACCTTCATAGATACCCAGGTCTGAACTTAAATATGTCTTTTGAGGGGACACAATTCAGCCCAAAACAGCACCCATCAAGAGGCAGGAATCTCTGTGGCCAAGGCCAACTGAGAACAGCTTCCTGTTCTGCCCAGGGGCCCTTGCACACCGGAAGGAAGGGAGGGACTGACAGCCACAAGTACCACTTTGCCCTTCTCTTCCTGGGCAGCCCAAGAGGTTAACCCAGGGCTTCCCCCTGCGCACCTTCCTCTCACCACCCTCAGCTCTGCCCCCAGCAGGCCGACACAGGTCTCCCCACTGTGTGCGCTCCCCCACCCCACCCCAGCCCCGCCCCCCAACACACACACACACACACACACACACCTCTCCACT